TGAGATGGAAGGCAGAAGCAAACAACCGCCTACGACTCAAATTCAGCCCTTGCTAACCTCCTTCTGATCTCCACTTTCCTAAGAAGGAATGTCTAGGTCTGATTCTTCAGGCGTGTGATGGATTCTCCATGACCCCCATCCTCAGTTAGGTCTACTGCTGGCCTTTTGGGCAGGAATAACAGATTACCTCCAAGAATAACATCTAAATGTATGAAAGAGCTCACAGGGCCACCAATACAGATACATATAATTTAGGCATCCCTTAAGAGGAGCTTATTCTCACTCACACTGACATGTTGCTACTGCTACTCAAAATTGTCATTTCTTTATTTTTATCTCTTCTGATTAGTTTAATTACCTGCTTAAGAGTCCCACATATAGAAAGGTGCTAAAGCCTCGACAAGGGTAGACAGGATGCCAAGAAGATACTAGAAATATTCGTCAGACCATGGACCCGAATGGGCAGATCATTGACCTTCTCTACAGGCCTACAAAGATGGGAATTGGATTGACAACTGCTCAACCTGACCACCAAGGAAGCTCACAAAAGATGCACAATGCATAATTGCACCCAACCATCCAAACAGCTATCAAATTCTACATGCATCAGAGAAAGAGATGTGAGCACCAAATTCATTCAATGGGACCTGTGGACAGAGCCTCACCCCTCCCTGGTACCAAGCTAGGAAGTCATTGCCTGAGGTTGGCATGCAAATCGCTTCTCTTCCTCCCTCAACTCAAGAAGGGCACTGACACAGCTCAGAGAACATAATACTGGTTTGTTTTCTGAACTCAAATCCTTGTTCCCTTGGAACGTTGACTTCTTCTTGCACAGGTGAGAACTGAGTGAATATAGTGTAAGTTATTTTGGTAAAGTTTCCATGACATCAAATCTAATAGTCTTATTATATATTTCACTTAAAATAATAAAAAATAATGTCATCATAAAATAATAGTTTATTATATACAATGATACAACTATACTGCAGGAAAAATATAGATTGAAGAGATAATCCTACCACCAAACACAACCAGGGTTGCTAGCAACATATTTGTCTTTTTTTTGTCATTCTTTATTAGGATTTATTTCCCATCTTTTCCTGTGAATCTTGCCCAAGAGAGGTAGATTGTGTGCATGTGTATAAACTTACTGTGTATAAACCTACAATGTCATATTTTGCTTTTCTCTCACTTTGAAAATCACTTTCTTGTGTGTGTGTGTTTTCACATAAATCTCCTTTGAAAGATATTCTTTGCTAATTATCTTTTCAATTGCACTCTCTGTAAACAACTGGGATTTTGGCCATCAAAGAGCTATAAAAGCCAGCAAAAAAAGTATCTGAATGTTCAATGCCAAGTAGACTAATTTTGATAGTCTGATTTTTCTAAACGAAATTTCAGAAATAACAACCACAGAAAATGAAATGTTAATTACAACCTTTGACACAACTATATGCCTCTTCTTTATTAAGACTTGGGACTCACCCTGAAAATGCCACTGTGAATGAATAACGGACGGGTGGGTGTCTGATTTCCCCCAAACCAAAGGTTATTTGGAGGTAAAATGTGTATTTTCACAAGATTTTGCTAAGTCACCTTTCTCTGTCTCTTCCGTTTTAATCTCACCTGCAAACTTGTCTGGTAATGCGCTAAATAAAGCAAGGGTCCTATACCTGGTGATCTGAGGTGGGAGCTGATGTAATAATAATAGAAATAAAGTGCACAGTAAATGTAATTTGGAAACCATCTCCCCCCACCCTGGTCCCTGGAAAAATTGTCCTCCATGAAACCATGTCCTTGGTGCCAAAAAATCTGGGGACAGCTTCCCTAAAGCAAGGCCTGTATTCTCTAAAAGGCTTCCAAAACCGGAATCTTGATCAGCCAGAAGCGCCCGCCCCACCACCACCCTTTGATACTTTATGGGTCATCGGTTTGGGAAGTTGAGTTCTGTTTGTTGATGTCCCTTCCCCACTGGCTAGTTTCACATGATGGAGAGCACGGGGATGAAGGAGTGTTGCTGGAAATTGCAGGGACACCGGAGGAGGCCCAGATTTGAGTCTCAGTAAATGCGCTGGAGCAGCACCCGGAATAAAATCAGCGCGCGCTAACCCCTAGCATAGTCGTCAGTTATAAGGCGACTTCTACGCAAACCCGGCAGCGCCGGACAAGTCCGGGTAACAGGGGACACGGGCAAAGGAAAGTTTTGCAGGTTTCAGTTCTCCTTCAGATAAGGGGGTGGGGGGAGAGCTGGAGAAACATCTGTTTTCAGTCCGAGTTACCCGCGAACTTTTTTCCTGGAGAGAAGCTCCCGGAGCAATTTACAGCATTCCAGCCTGAGGCTCTCGTGCCAGACGCTCTGAATCAACCTTTAGAAACTCGAGCTGCCGGGAAGGGAAGGAGCCAGAGTCGCAGGGGTGGGAGCGCCCCCTCGGGCCTCGGCGCGGGGACCAGCGGCGGGCCGGCGGCTTGAGCGCTCGCTCCCCGCAGCATCAGCCGGCTGCGCTCGCCTTTCCCGGGGAGGGTCCCCGCGGCCGCGTCACCCGAGCTCCGCGGCGTCGCCACAGGCGGCGGAGGCCGATCTGGGTTTGTGCAGAACTTGGGAGCCTGGAAGAAGCGCCAGCCCCCCCATCCCCACCCCCACCCCGCCGAGGCCTTTCCCGAGAGACTGGGAGACGCCGTCGGACGGCGAGAGCGCCTGGATCGCTGGGTTAGAGGCGCCGGCGTCCGTAGGGCTCGGGTCTATCCCGGGGCCGCGTAACCGACAGGGGGAGCCCTGTCACTGTGGAAGCCGGGGACCCAGGGCTGGGCCACTCAGGGGCGCGCCCTCCTCCCCGGGACCGCGCTCTCTTCTGCGGGCGAAGAGGTTTCCAGAGCCAAGAGCGTAAAGAGAGGAGTGGACACTCACATAGACGCACATACTAGGTTTACCAGGACGCTCGAGCTTTCCATCTCCTGAACCCCGGAAAGCTGTCTGTCGTTTCTTCGGTTTTACTGTCTGATCTACTGGCTCAAACGGTAATTAATTAGCCTGCAATGCTGTAGACGTGGGTTCGATCCCTAGTTCAGGAAGATTCCCCGGAGAAGGAAATGGCAACCCACTTCAGTATTCTTGCCTGGGAAGTCCCATGGACAGAGGAGCCTGGCGGGCTACAGTCCGTGGGGTCTCAAAGAGTCGGACACAACTGAGTGACTAAGCACACATACTCCTGAATGTGAGAAGGGCCCGGCGGGTAAGAGGAAGGGTGTGTGCGCGCGTGTGCGTTTGTGTGTCTGTGTTTCTGCCCTGGGCCTCCGCAGAACGCTTTGAAAAACAGGCCAGTGCGCACCGTCTCTCCCCATCCCTCTGCAGAGTGGTCAGATAGTTTCCACCCACGCTCAGGGACAGATGAGAGATGCCCAGGGTCTGGTCCCTGCGGCTTCCCCGCACACACCTACACTGTGTGCCTACACCCAGGGCACTCTCGGGCTGTACCCAGGACCTCCCTGTCCCTCTTGGGGGTCCTCGCTTTCCGGGAGACGCAGACCTTGGCTGTGGGGAACCCTTCCCCGGCCCTCGCTCAGCGGGTGCATTAACACCCTCTTTATGAATTGGTCAGACCAGCTGCGCCTGCACCTTTAGCTCAAAGCGTTGCGGGCCCCAGCGCCTGGGAGTAGAGGGAAGAGGTGGGAGTTGCGCCAACCCACTGCTACGCCCCTGCCCTCTGGCCTGACCCTCACCCCGCCTTCCTCTCTAGATGCTCTGTTCGATGCCTGCCACCTCGCTTCTGTCTTTGGCCACCACTCCCCACAACTCTGGACAGGTAGGCCAGGTATCCACTGTTTTCCTCCCCCACCCCTCTCTTTTTGGGGTTGGGGACTGAAAGCTGCATCCTCACGGCCCAGCTGGGTTTTTTTAGAATCAAGAAAGTGTGTCCACCTCCAAAGAGCTGTAGTAGTATTCCCTATCACCCCCACCCCCAAATCCGGCTCACTGAGGTCTCCGTAGCTAACCCAGAACAGATGATCATTTGAACTGGAAGTTGGATCGAAAATAAAAGGACGAATATGGTGCTAGGGTTGCGAAATCTCATACAACAGTTCCTCGGGAAAGCGGAGAACACAAAGCCCTTCCTTCCAAAAAGAGCGGACTCTTTTTGCCCCAGTATTGATTCCTTAATTCCTCTCTCTCCTCTCGCCTCACCCCTCACCTCCGGCCCTGTTTGTTTTAGTTACGAAACGCTGTGGGCACCTCGGTTGTGGCTGAAAAGTAACCTTGAAACACGCCGTCCTGTCAGACAGTCTCCCAACCGTCGCAGCTGCTGGCGGGGCCACTTGCGCCCTGCGCCCGGCGCCGGGACAGTGGGACGGGGTTCGTCCCCGCCAGCTTCCCGGTCGGGCTCGGAGGAGGCAAAAAGCCGGGGCGGCGGGACCGCAGGCCTTCCGTAGCCGCTCTGGGTCTTAACTGTAACGGGAGTGGCCTCCCAGCAACAGCGGCCGGGGAGTTCAAGGTGTGTACACAGTTTTGCTACATAGGACAGCGCTTTGCAAACTGGCTCAGTCACCGGCTGGCTGTTTTGACAGGGAGTGAGCCCTGCGAGCGCAGAAACCGGGATAAATAAATGCGGCTTTGATAAGGCTCTGCGGAGCCTGAGCGGAGGCCGGACGCGCCCTCGGACCGACGTACCAGGCGCCCAGCTCAATGAGACCAGGCCGAGGGGGAGAAGGGTTGGAGGTGGGGGTCAGAGCCCTGGGCCGCTCCACCGGGTGGCCTCCTCCCGGGTCCCTCCTCCCGCGGGGACGCCCCCCAGGGGCCCGCGTCCACCCTCTTCGCTTGCTCATCGCACCTCCTCCTACCCCCGGCCCCCTCCTCCCGCGACCCAGCCCTCCCGCCCACTTCCAACCACCGCCTCTGGCCGGCCGAGAGAGCGGGGCCGAGAGACAGGGAGAGCGAGAGGGAGGGAGGGGACCGTGCCTCGGCCGACTTTTTTTTTTTTAAAGGAGGGTGGGGGTGGGGGGGTGATTGCCGGTCGTTTGTTGTGGCTGTTAAATTTTAAACTGCCATGCACTCGGCTTCCAGTATGCTGGGAGCGGTGAAGATGGAAGGGCACGAGCCGTCCGACTGGAGCAGCTACTACGCCGAGCCCGAGGTAGGCACTCGGCTTTGCCGGGGAAAGCGGGGTGGCGGCGTCTGCCCTCGGTTCCAACCTCGGGACCGCTTCCCTGGCCGGCTCCCGGGCCCCCCACCTCGCCCAACACCACCCCTAAACACCACCCCAGCCGCTCGGGGCAGCCGCCTTTCCCACCCTCCTTCGACTCAAATGGGTCTCTTTTTTTTTTATACGACACACTGTTAGCCTTGAGATAATATTAACTTTGTGATCAAATATTGACTTGCGGCGCCTCCAAATCCTCTCCGTGGCCGAGCCACGCACTATCCTAACAGAGTTGTGTTTGGCAGCGCGCGGCTGGGGAGGGGTGGGAGGTCGGCCGGCGAGGGGGTGGGGAGCTGCAGAGGAGAAGGTGGGCAGGAGTCGGGGGCTGGGGTAGAGAAAAAAAGGGTCGAGGACGAGGCGACAAAGAGGGAGAAAGTTTGTGGCTGCAGAGTCCAGCCGCCAGCAGCTCAGTTCGCAGTCCCCTCCCCGTCCCGCCACTCAATGTCTCAGGGTGGCCATAGGCTCCGCGCGGGAACCGCTTCGAGGTTCCCCTGGGGACCAGGATGGGGTCCGGGAGGAAAGCTGAAAGGAGAGGACCCTGGGGTCGTCTCCGCGGGAGATCACCCAGCGCCGTGTCCCACAGGTCGCTGGCCAGGGTCGGAGGTGGCGTCTGAGGCAACGGCGCCTGCTTGGTGTACTGACTTGAGAGTCGGGGAGATTCTGCAGAGGGGAGATGCATTTGGGGTGCCTGGCTCAGCGCGCTCCTGGAGACCCCTGCTGTAGAATCTGAACCGGGCGCAGGAGGGCTGAGGGGTGATCATGAGCAGTCCCCGCGCCCCCTCTCCGAGGGCGATCGCGGCGCGCTCCGGGTGACACGGACGCTGGGTCGGGGCCTGGGCCGGGGCCGCGCGAAGGCAGGACTCCCTGGAGGCCTCCCTGGAGGCGGGGGCCTGGGCTGGCCCGTTGGCCGGGTGTGGGGCGTAGGATGTGGTGTGTGGGGCGGGAGTCCGGCCAGCCGGCCGGGCTCTCTCCAGCCGCGGTGCTAACGCTATGCGCCTCCCTTCGGGCTCTGTCCTCAGGGCTACTCCTCGGTGAGCAACATGAACGCCGGCCTGGGGATGAACGGCATGAACACGTACATGAGCATGTCGGCGGCCGCCATGGGCAGCGGCTCGGGCAACATGAGCGCCGGCTCCATGAACATGTCGTCGTACGTGGGCGCGGGCATGAGCCCGTCCCTGGCCGGCATGTCCCCCGGGGCGGGCGCCATGGCCGGCATGAGCGGCTCGGCCGGGGACGGCCGGCGTGGCGGGCATGGGGCCGCACCTGAGCCCGAGCCTGAGCCCGCTCGGGGGGCAGGCGGCCGGGGCCATGGGCGGCCTGGCGCCCTACGCGAACATGAACTCCATGAGCCCCATGTACGGGCAGGCGGGCCTGAGCCGCGCGCGCGACCCCAAGACGTACCGGCGCAGCTACACGCACGCCAAGCCGCCCTACTCGTACATCTCGCTCATCACCATGGCCATCCAGCAGAGCCCCAACAAGATGCTGACGCTGAGCGAGATCTACCAGTGGATCATGGACCTCTTCCCCTTCTACCGGCAGAACCAGCAGCGCTGGCAGAACTCCATCCGCCACTCGCTGTCCTTCAACGACTGCTTCCTCAAGGTGCCCCGCTCGCCCGACAAGCCCGGGAAGGGCTCCTTCTGGACCCTGCACCCCGACTCCGGCAACATGTTCGAGAACGGCTGCTACCTGCGCCGCCAGAAGCGCTTCAAGTGCGAGAAGCAGCTGGCCTTGAAGGAGGCCACGGGCGCCGCGGGCGGCGGCAAGAAGGCGGCCGCTGCCGCCGGGGCCCAGGCCTCGCAAGGTCCGCTCGGAGAGGCGGCCGCCGGACCCGCTCCCGAGACTCCGGCGGGCACCGAGTCGCCCCACTCAAGCGCCTCCCCGTGCCAGGAGCACAAGCGAGGGGGCCTCGGGGAGCTGAAGGGGACGCCGGCCTCGGCGCTGAGCCCCCCGGAGCCGGCGCCCTCGCCGGGGCAGCAGCAGCAGCAGGCCGCGGCCCACCTGCTGGGCCCTCCGCATCACCCGGGCCTGCCGCCCGAGGCCCACCTGAAGCCGGAGCACCACTACGCCTTCAACCACCCCTTCTCCATCAACAACCTCATGTCGTCAGAGCAGCAGCACCATCACAGCCATCACCACCACCAGCCCCACAAAATGGACCTCAAGGCCTACGAACAGGTGATGCACTACCCCGGCTATGGGTCCCCCATGCCGGGAAGCCTGGCCATGGGCCCGGTCACGAACAAAGCGGGCCTGGATGCCTCGCCCCTGGCCGCAGACACCTCCTACTACCAGGGGGTGTACTCTCGGCCCATTATGAACTCCTCGTAAGAAGACAGCGGCGACCCGGCTAGCCCGGGACCCAGATGGGAGAGACAGGAAGTGGGGTGGAGACTCTGAGGAAGGGCTGCTGGAAAGGTGCAAGGGAGAAGAACCCTTCACACCCTGCCCCGCCCCCCCACGGAGGTCTCCCCTCGCCCTCTGCAGTCCTTCCCTCCCTCACGTGGGCCACACTGATGTCTATCATCCTATGTAAGGAGGGAAAAAGAAGAAGCTAAACAGTTTTAAAAAAAGAAAAAGAAGAAAAGCCTCTGTTTCCACTACTGTGTAGACGCCTGCTTCTTTAAGAACCTGCCAATTCTTGACTTTTTGTTGTTGTGGTTCCTCTTCATTGCTGTCGTTGCAGGGAAGTCTTACTTTATTAAAAAAAAAGAAAAAGTAAAAAACACAAACTTTTGTGAGTGACTCGGTGTAAAACTATGTAGTTTTAACAGAAAACAGAGTTGTACTATTGTTTTAAAAAGAGAAAAAAAATAATGTAAGGGTCTGTTGTAAATGCCCAAGAAAAGAAAAAAAAAAAAGCATTCCCATTCTTGATACGGTGAAATCCAGGTCTCAAGTCTGACTAATTTATGGTTTCTGCGTGCTTTATTTATGGCTTATAAATGTGTGTTCTGACTGCAAGGACCAGAGTTCCACAAATCTATATTAAAGTGTTATTGCCAGTTTTTTGCTTTGAATCTTCAAGATGTTTTTCCTTTGCCTGATTTAAAAAAATAAACATATCCAGGATTTATTTTAAAATTGAGGGAGGGAGATCCTGACTGGTTGCAGGTTTTATTTTATTTGGGGGGAGATAGTTGCTGCTTTATCAACATTTTATTGTTAACATTTTCAGACAAACTTAAAGTTGAATGAATTTTACAGTTAACAGACATACCCATTGCTCAGATCCTACAGTTCTCAGCTCAGTATGCTTGTTACACTGAGTGTCTGACCATCTATCCATACATCCATCAGTCCACTTACGTTCTTAGATGCATTTCATAGTAAATTTCAGACTTCAGTACACTTCACCCGAAACACTCCAGCAAGGACATCATTAATGGAACTCAACATTGTTCAAGGTTACTTTTTGAATTTTGAGTTTAACTTTACACAAAATGAAACTCAAAGATCCCAGGTGAACCATTCTGGGGGTTATGGGGTTGATGCAGGTTCATCTCCAAAGCCTGGCAAAAACCACACACCATTTCCATATTTTCCAGCTGGACCATGTGAAGGTGAAATGTTGTTGACATCTCTTGCACCCTGGGGCTGGTTTCTCTGGGAGAAAAAAAAAAAATCCTGGATTTTCCTTTTTTTTTTTTTTTCTGTATTCCCAATCCTTGGCCTACCTTCAGACTTGCAAACTCCTGGTGCAGCCCTTTTCCTTTTCATCATTGCCTCTCTGCACCCATTCACCTTTTCCTGGAATTGGGACTCTGCCTGGATTCGACAACCACAGGCCTCTGTTTAGGATCCACCACCACCCCCATCCCACCCTCTACCTTCACTTAGATGTTCTGCACAACTTTGGTAGAACTTGCTGCAGCCCAGAGATAGTGAGGCTTCTGGAATCATGCATTTGAGCATTTGGTCTGGAGAGACAAAGGACTTTCTCCTGGAAGTGATTTTAAAGGGATCTCAGAGTTCTTGGAAATCTTTAAATATAGGTATATTGGGGAATGAGGCAGAGGTAAGAGGGTGTCCGGCATGTCTGGCCAGGTGCCCCTTGCCAGGGGTTGGATTCCAGGGGTCTGCAGGTTTGTGCCCTACCCTCCAAACTCCTGAGACCTTGCCAAGTGAACTGTTAGGCCGGGCTAGCAAGCCAGGATTACAGGGCCAAGGGGATGAGTGGGTATGCTGTGATCCTTAAAGGAAAACCCCAAAGCATAAAGAAAGACCCAGAATAAATCCTTACAAATCACACTGCCTCCCTTCAAAAATAGCCTAGCAGGAGTAAAATCAGGACCAAGAAGAGCGGAAACCTCAGAAACCAAGCGGGAGTTGTGTGGGCAGAGTGGGCTTTATTTGGTTTTGCTGGAGGCATCTGCTGGCCTGCCAGCTGGCCAGGCTAGAGCAGGAGCCAGTGGGCTCTAGGGGTCCCGAGAGACTTGGAGTCATCCAGGGCACAGCTAGCTTGCATAGGGTGAAAATTTTTGGAGTGAGAAGCCGAAACTTTTGGCCTTGGGTTTCTAAGCCCAGGCTCCCGTGTCCGGACTAGATCTTTGGGCTTCTTGACCACCCAAACTTGGAGTGTCCCTGGCAGTCTCCCGAAGCCTGGACACCACCTGTCAGATCGCCCTCTGCCACCTCGCGGGATCTCTCTGCCCCTCAAACCCTGGCCTTCCCACGCGATTGAGGGGGGTTTGTCCTCGCCTCCGCCTCCCTCCTCCAAATCCCTTTTTAACATGCCACATTGTCCCGAAGAACACAAGGAAGAGAAATTGGGGAGGGAGGAGAGAGGCCGAAGCCAGCAATCAGGGCCGTCTCTCCCCCTGGCAGGGACACACACGTCGTGAGCCCAGCCTGAAATGTGTTTCATTATCACATAAAAGGCTCCTGCGGCGAAGGAGCCGAGAGGCAGGGCCGGGGGCCGAGTGCGGGACAATGAGGGCTGAAAGCGCTGCCCTAACCTGCTATGTTTCCTATCGCACGCCCATTGTGCGAGGGTCGTTTTAAACTACTTAGCGCGCCCCCCTCCACTGATCCCTGCCGATAAGATATAGTTCTGTTGGAATACTTAAAAAGGATGCCGGGGAGCTGGCCGCTTCGGAGGCTTTTCGGCGCATCCTGAATCTTTCGGCCCCCTACCCTCTCGCCCCAGCCCCTCCTCCCGCCAAGGCCCCCAGCTTAACGGCGCTCACACTGCCCTCCGCCTGCGTCCCCCAACTCTGCGTAGTAGGGTGCAGCGTCTCTTTTTCCCTCCCTCGCCCTCTCTTTTCCTTCCTTTTCCGCGCTGGTTTAAGCAACCGTGATCTGTGAATAAACAGTCAGTAAACAACCGAAAAAAACATTCTAGATCCGAATTCCAGGAGGGTAAACTTTCAAGGCCACGTCACACTTCAGCAAATTTGCACAGATACTATATTGCCCCCCTCCTTTATTCTTTTTTTTTTTTTTTTTGCAGGATCCCATTGTACTTAACTGAATTTTATAACGCTGATCGATATCTTGGTAAAATATTCATTTTTAAACTAGCGGGCAGTGAAATCTTTGCTTTGTGTGCTAAAGTCAACAGTCGCTCGGTTTGAGCTCAAATAAATGCGGGGATGCCTCGGCTCAGAGCAGTCGGCCGCCTCCCTCCGCGCGCTGGACGCTCTGCCGCCGCCGCCCGTCAGCCCGCCCGCCCGCCGCACCGCAGGTAGGGAGTGCGCCCCCCACTCCAGTCCGCGCGCCTCCCCGCCCCCAGCCAGCCCCTAGCCCTACCCGGGGCTCCGAGGCCTGAGGGGCGGGGAAGGAGGGAGAAGCCAAGTCGGAGAGAATCCGGGGTTGGGGAGGTGGCCTTTTTGCGGGCAATTCTGAGGATGCTAGCTGTTGGGGAACCCAGAGTGAACCTGGGTCCTGCGCACAGCTGAAAAGTTTGGCGGGGTCCCGAAGCGCCGGGAAGACACCGCAGGCTCCCGCAGCCTCTCTGGAGCGGGGATTCGATCCGAGGGCCTCCTGTCGCCCTGGGACAGTGGGGAGGCGGGGGTGGGAGCCGGCCTGGGCCTCAGAAGCTGGGGTGGGGGAGGCGGAAGATGGCGCGCTGGTCCTGGGAGGCTGCAGAGGGAGGCCCGAGCGTGGGTTCCAGGGACGTGGAGGCCCAGCGACGGTGGGGCCCCGCCGTCCGGGAGCCGAGGAGGGACAGCGCCTTTCCCAGCGTCAGGGGAAGCCCAGGTTCTCTCCGCGAGCGCGCAGGACCGCAGGAAAGTCCGGGAGCCTCGGGGCCACTAATCGGTTCCAGGAGGGAAATGCTGAACCCGGCCGCGGGGCGGTTCCTCGACCGCTCCCCCCCGCGCTGGCCCAGAACACCGAGTTTGGAGGGATCGGACAGACGGTGTCGCCCCACGTCCCTTCCCCGGGCCTCTGATGGCGCCAAGTCACCGCGCCCAGCATCTGTCCCCCGCCTACGGGAAAGCACCCTCTCGGAAAACTAGTGGCTCCGAGGCTGCCAGTTGACACCGCAGGACCCTCGGCTGTGGAGAGCAGGGTAGAAAAGGTGTTTTTCCCCCTGGGGTCTACCAGGTGTCCCTCCCCACTCCCAAATCTGCATTCTGCCTGAGGATTTGCTTTCTAGGGCTGGGTGTCTGACTCGTTGGAGGCTCACGCCGGTTCAGTCAGTTTGGTATTTCTCCAGGACGTAGGTAGCGCTAGGTCTCGGACCACCGAAATTACCCGCCACCGTGACTGGAAAGTTTCTTCCCTTCCCGCCACTGTCACCCACATCTCAAACCCAAAAGGCCAGATATCGGTCCTGATAATTGGCAGGGTCAGTTCTGTGGACAACTCCCTGTGTGGACAGCCTGGGCACCCGTCTCCTTCCCCCGTCCCCGTGGGGCGGCGTGCGCCTTTGTCCACCGCGCCCAAGGCCGGCTGGGGTGCGCGCCTGCCCTGCCGCGCTCCCAGCCCGGCTTCGGTTCGCTTAGCTGGTTATCCTCCCTGAACGAAACTGCTCGCCTGCGGGACACACGCGAGGCTAATCGTTTTTAAATTATTAATGCCTCCCCGTTCCGCTGGTAATGCGCGGCCTCGAATCCGTCAATTACTTGTCATTAGATGGTGTCGCCCCAAGTCCTTTCCCCGGGTCTCTGATGGCGCCGGGTCACCGCGCCGGCCCACTCCACGGCCGAATAAAAAAGGTCCCTGGCCTCAGAGCCGGTGCGGAGTAGCCGCGGCCCTTAATTCAGTGTTTTGAAAGAAAGACCCTCGTTGAAGAGATGTAATCTTCCAAATGGCCAATTTAAACGCCTGATGTTTATCGCCTGCCTTCTCCCGGCTTTATACAGAGAAGCCGGTCGTCAGTGCTTTGGGGGCCTTTTAATGTGGGGAGGCGTGCGGCAGGGAGAGGCTAGAGAGAAAGCTCAATGGGGGTGGGGGGAGTAGGCAGAGGGTGTGTTCGCTCAACAAGGCACCTGGAGGTACCTCGGGGTAACTGGTTTTCTCTGGGGCAGCACACCCTTCTGAGATCGGGGCTCTGCAGATCCTCTCCACTTGGGGCCTGGATCTTCTGAACTGTGTTGCCCAGAACTCTTGAGAGAACGTAGCAGGGCCTCTTGGGGTGGGAATGTCCCCCTTGTGCTAGGAGGGAGGAGGGAAAATCTAAGCCTGCAACCCCCCCCACCCCGCCCGCCATGGCCCTAACCTAACTGTGGCCAGTGTCCACACTTACAGGCACTGAATCCCACCAAACAGAAGAGATTCCCTCATACAAACCCCTCTGAGAGTCATCAACACCACAGAAAGGCAAGATTTCAGACTCTAAAAGCCTCTGCCCAGCCAGGGACCCAGTGGACACCAGCCTCGGCTATAGCACCATGGCAACCCAGGCTTCCCAATGGTTGGTGGAGCGAAATTACACAAACAAAAACACAAGGAAAAACTCTCCAAAAGTTTGCTGCCCCATTTAATTACTTATCAGTTGCTTCCTTTCCCCATCAAATGGTCTTTTTGCAGTAAACAGATATCTGAGGGTGTCAGAGTCTTGCATGCCCCTTTTGGAGTGAAAACCATACAGTGTGACCACAGCATGCCCCCCCCCCATCCCCCAGGCCCACCACCCCTTGACTGGAAAGCC